ACAGCGTCCACGTGGCGTACAGGGAAGGCATCTTCGAGTCGGAGAGGTTCGGTTTCCTGTTGAGAAGGAGCAGACAATCAGCTCATGCGGCACTTGGGGGCTTGTGGGGAGAGCAGGGGTTTGCCCAGCAGCGATCCCGATGGTTCTGTGTGCCTGCACTGCCCCAAGCCAGGGCCCTGGTGGTGAACACGATGGACCAGGTTTCTGATTCTATTATAATGAGGGCTTTCATCTTTCTGCACCTGATTTACAAAGAACTATTCCCCTGCAGGGTTAGGATTTGTTATAGAAACCCCATGGCATTTCAAAAGGGGCCTCCAGACATCAGCCCTCCCTCTGTGCTTTGGCTAAACTCCCTGCTGTTACCCCTAACCCATCCCTGTATGTGCTGGGCAGCACCTACAGCAGCGCTGCCAGAGGCAGCTTTGGTGCAGGGGCAGCTCCTCCTGCCTTCTCTAGGGATATCACCATCATGTTTTTACCTGAAGCCACTAAACCCTGCAGCCTTCCCCACCAGCATGCTGGCAAACACTGCTCCGGATTCCCTGAGAGAGTGGGCCACAGTGAAATCGTCTTGTGAGCTCCTTAGGGAAGGAAAAAAACATTCCTCTGATGATTCTTCACCTTTTTGGGGGTGGAGGAATGATTTATGGTTTGATAACTGAGCAGTGATTCATCAAATAGCTCAGGCATCAATTTATTATGAAGACATTTCCTAAGAAGGATAGAATAGCAGCTCTAAACCCAGCGTTGTGGTTGGGATGCTTTATGAGGCTATTTAGGGTGACGGGGCTGTGCTCTCCATTATTTGTTTGTGCTGTCCTTGGTCAGATGGGGCTGTGGTGTTATTGGAAGCTTGGTGGTGAAAAAATGAGCTGGGGACATGGAGACTAATCACTGGTGCTTCTGAGCATGGGGAGGGTGCAGGGGGCAGAGCTGGGTTCAGAGCAGCACTGGGACCTCTGACTGTTCCTTGTTTCTCTGCCTGTCCTGAGCATGTCTCAGGGGAACTGGGGGCACAGGCAAGTTTTTTTCCTTCTCCTAAACAGTATATTTTAATTTTTGCTGCTCATAATGCATGTTTGCTTGGTGAGATCAATGGTGTCCAGTCCTTAAATGACTGTTCTGAAGACAGTATTTTGACTCTAAAAGAGCCTTCAACATGTGGTTTTCCTCCTGGCAGGAAAAAAGAAAGTCTGGAATCACCCAGAAGGAATAAGGCAAGTCCGAGCACAGACACGCTGACGTCCAACCTGGCTCCCATGCTAAGTCATTGGTGCCGGTGTGTCAGCTCTGCTAGAGCTCCTGGGCTGAGTTACACGGTGATGGGAGAAGTTGCTGCTGCCTCTGTTGACGTCCCAGGTTTCAGACAAGTGGATGAAGGCTGATGTGCTGTTCACTCATCCCAACCGTGTGGCCCCCAAGGGGATGCTGCTGGCCCCCCTCTCCCTGCCATGGCCCCGGCTGCTGGAGGGAGATGCAATTCCCACATGGTGCAGCTGAGTCAGGACGTGGAGAAGCTCAAGGGGTGAGAGCTGCTGGGAGTCATCCCATCTGAAGAGGAATCCTGTCCCCCATTAGTGCTGCAGGAATCCCTTGCAGAGATTTCTGTGCAGGAATGAGAAACCCCCAAATCCCGTGTGTTACCCACTCCCCTCCGCAAGTTGTTTCATGTAGGAAAAGCCAGACCTGAAGAGGGGAGCGACGTAGTTGCTGGGGAAGACACCCGCTCTCCCTGTGACAAGGGACATGCCCCGCAGCCATCCATCGTGGTCCTTCCCAAAGACACGGACCCCTTCTCCCTTCTGCAGCTCCAGCTCATCCGGTCCGTGAGCCGTGTAGGAATGGAGAGCCACGCACCTGAGGAGACAGGGTGAGGGAGGAGGGTGCTGGAGCAGATCCCAAGGCTCCGGGTTTAACTGTGCTATGGAAGCCTCTGCAGCCAGCCCCGATCAACTGTCTGGGTGCTGCTGTTATTGTGGAAAGAACTCACAGGGAAGAAACTGCCCCTGACTTCAGGCCAAAGGGGATGCAAATAAGAGAAGAGCCGACAGGAAGGGAGAACAAAGCAGAGCCCATCAGTGCTCTGTGTCCCAAGGGCCAGCCAAGCCAGCCACGGGCAACAAGTGTTAGGGAGGAGAGAGCTGCTGCTCTCCACCTCACACAGTGAAATAACTGATCAAGGGTTCATGTGTACCTGTCCTAAGGCAAAGCAGCATGAAAGTGTGCAGGTAGGATGGATGCTGTGTCCAGTGATAGCATCGAGAATACATTCTGCCTTTGAAGTAGGTGGTGAGCCAGAGGCCTTGCATCTGCTTGCCTTGAGCATCATCTGGAGGTGTGAGGCACGGGAGGAGCAGTGCTGGTACAGCAACCTGTGTGTTAACCCCATCTTCCTCCCTTTCCTCCTCCTGTGAGCAGAAAAGACTAATGCTGGGGCTCCAGCTGTTGCCACAAGGGCTTTGAGGACAAAGTGGGCAAAGAAGGAGGCACATGGCTCTTCTCTGGGCTAGCAAGGACACCAGGCTGGAAATTCATTTGAGATCCCCTCTGGAGCTCTCTGTTGTGATTCTGGGACTAGAGAAGGGGATGAAGCTTTGCTCTCCACAGCAAACCACGAGCACAAGAAAACGGCATATTTTTCAGAACTTTCCCAGTATTGTTCTTTAAGGAACTTTAACATGTCTCCAGTGGAACACATTTAACTGCACTGTTGGTTTTCATTTCCAAGGGCAAGGTGAGCTGCTCTCAAATATTAACGAGTTACAGACCAATACAGTGATTATCAGATATCATCTGAAAAATAGAAACCACAGACTAGTGTCTGGATAGTCAAGGGCTGCCCCGTAACTTTCAAAAGATTTTTCTCTGTGTGTTGTTCAGAACAACCACTTGAAAGTTTGCCTTGAGCTGCCTGTCTCTGTAAAGTGACTTTACTTGCACAGGCCAGGCGAGGTTCAGCTAAGGGAGTTCTGATACTGCAGGTTTATCACTCCATACAGGATTCATGTGGAGGGGCAGGACGTGCAGATATTGGTTTCATATTGCAGGGTTGGAAGAGGAGCTGTGCCAAAGAGGCAGCTGGTCGAACACTTTAACACGATCCTCACTCTACCAATAATTTTAAGGTGTGAGAAGTTTGCTTGTGTGCGGGATCAGGGGTGTGTGATAGTCTTGGGTGCCCTGTGCTAATGCATGGATGTAGCAAACATCACGAGTGTAGCACAGATTGCAGCTATCACTCCTGCACTTGTGCTTCCAGAGGTCGGGCTTGATACTGCGGAGGTGCTAATTGCCATGTAGGCAGCGTGTTGCTGTGCTGTTGTCATTAGGCAGCTCACTACAGTGCCAGGCTGATGAATCTTATCTAGGGGAAAACAAATCTCCGTGATACAGCAGCTGCAAATTTCAACTCTGGGAAAGTTTTAAAAGATTGGATCATTGAGAACACCACTGGCCTGCTTCAAAATAAATACCCAGGGGCACTTCAGCAGTAATTGGTTTCTTTATATTTAAAAGACCTAAAATGGACTGTTGACTAATAGGCAGGACTATATATCTATAAATACTGAGTGGGGTAGTAAGGCGCAAGGACAGTTCACCTGCTGGGAACAGAACAATTCAACCTTGATACTAAGACTCTGTGAGCCCCTGCCTAGAACCATCCAAGCACATTCCTACATGGGTCTGCATTGGATCCAAGTGCATGGGAGCTGTGCCCTGCTCTGCCTTTACCTCCCAGCTCCCAAGAGCATGAGGTGAAGGGACCGAAAATTACATGACACCCTCCCCCACCCAAGGTATTTGGGTTTCTGTACGTACATATAGGCTGATATGTGGTGCTGCAGATGGGGAAGAGTGACGATGGCTGCTGAGTGCCCCAGTGATCCTGGCGCAGGGTAGTAGGATGCACTGACCTACCGGGAGAAAGAAAGCAAAGAAAACAATGTGTTAATCTGAATACGGACTGACTTCAGCCACTGGAAGAGCAGCTAAAGGTGCTTGAGAGGCTTCACCCACCCTTCAAAAAAACTAACAACAACCAAAGATGTTTGAGGAGAAAGAAGAGTTTGGAGCATTTGGCAAAATCCACTGTCTCTGATGCCTGCTCCAGGAAGGAAAGGGGGTTTGGGAAAACAGCATTTCAAGCCCAGACTTTGCTGACTAGGAGGAGACCGTCACGTCTGCCAGGTGAGGACTGCTATAACCACTGCTGTTTCACTCGTTATTTATGTAGCACTAGCTGGGAGTACTGGCATTGTCTAAACCCTAAATAATACAGTCCTTGCCCCAGTGATCTTTTAATAACTGTTATTAAAGCTCTTTACTACGTCTGTGGCGCCCCGAGTTGCTCCATAGCCCCGTGTGTACACGGAGCTCTGGCTGTGCCAGGAAGAGCAGCAGCGTGAGAGCGCGGGCAGAGGCTCCTCACTCAGGTTTGTTTGGTTTGGGGTGACCCTTTCCCACCATCATTCTGCATCCGCAGGGAGGTACTGGCCACCATAATGCCCCCTCTGCCCTCCTATGGAGATTGTTCATGTTCTGGGGAGGAACCTCAGCTCTGTTTCTGCTGTTAAAGGTGATCATCTTGAACGTGACATGTGGAGGTTTAAGTGTCTACTCTACACTTTTCACCTCTTGAGGCCTTATCTCCTGGACCGTGTGTTGGCCAGGACCCCCCTTGGCCAGGAGACTTGCAGTGTGGAGGGTTATCTTGCCTTCGTGGTTGCAAACATACACAGCAGTCAGGGTGCAAGGTCTTTCAAAGAAACTGTGAGTTTTGTCGGGAAGGCAGGGACCCTTCCCGTTCCCATCAAAGTCCAGCTGTCTTTCAGATGGCAAGGGAAAACAGATCAAGCTGAAATTTTTGACCTGTCCTGGCTATCTGCCTTGTTTAGATGTCCAGCAGTGAGGCAGAGGATAAGTGGGAACAAGGACACATCCAGAGGTGGTCACTCCTGGCATGGTCTGGAGCTGTGGCAGTAACGCCCTGTGGGTCTGCATTGCTTTGCTCTGCTCTGGAGCCTCCCCAGGGCTCATCTGTCCCTTCTACAGCACAAAAGGGTACCCCGGGGTGAGCTGCTGTGAGCCAGCCACCCATCCCCATTGGAATGCTGCGAGGCATCAGCCGTGTTGTACCGTGGCTGCTGCTGGGATGTGAAAGCGAAGCTCCCAGCAAGGCAGGGCGGCTGCCCTGGCATCCCTGGGGAATCTCAGGCCAAGGAAAGTCACTGGGCTGGGATGTGTCTGGCAGTCCTGTTCGCCAGCAGAGACCACAGCACCTTTCATGAGGAGGTTGTCAGGGCTTTAATCTCTCGTTCATTTCCAATCTAATTTCTGGTGGTCATGTCTGTAACACGGTGCTGGAGCACTGGCTTAGCAAGGACCGAGGGAGAGCGTAAGTGACTCACCAGCTCTGTTGCTCTCCAGTGAATTAAGTTAATTAAACCCCAGCAACTGTAGGTTTGTCTCCAGACCTGGAGTGGCAGGTCAGCTTCAAACCAGCTTTGTGTTCCACGTTTTCTAGTCCAGGCAGGGACAGACCAGGCTCTCACATAAATAAAGCCGATTGGAAATTACAGCTCTGTTTTCATGATTTTCATAATCAAGACCTTTGAAATTTGGGGATTTGGAGGGTTTTTTTTCCTGCACTGGAGCAAAATAACAACCTGTTGCTGGTTTTCCTGATGGAACTGTGGTGAAATGTCCAGTTCTGGGTGGAAAGCTTCATGTTTTCCATCCCTATTACCCCTCCGCATGGAAGTAGTGATCCTTCCAGAGCCTGCATCAAAGCTGCGTTTGTATTTTCAACAGAGAGGAAAAAAGACTGAATGATTTTCCAGGCACGTGTAACTGATTTCAGCATTCACTTCTGCTGATCTCTTATGAGTACCTTGCAACTCCTTACAAGTACAAGGACGTCATTTCCTGCCTCTCCTAAAATCGCTCTCTTGCTCCATCTCCCTATCTAGGTTGTCACCAAGGGGATTTCCAGCTTAGCTCCTCTGTACCCGATGGTTCCCTGGGGAGAGGTTTGTGAGATGCCTTAGGGGGAGGGAGATCTTCTGCATTCCACCACAGGACTGTCAGTGCTCTTGGTGCTCCTGAAAGCTGGGTCCTGAAATAAGCTGAATTTGTTACCTAGAAAAGCCAAATGCACTGGATGCAGATGCCAGGTTCATCAGCCCCCTTCGACGAGCAGCAAAGGGTTGCACCGAAGGACACTTCACTGCTGTGCTCCGAGGGACACTAAAGATCCCTTGGTCTCCCTCAAATGTCTGTAGTCTCACAGCTTAGGGCAAGTCTCATGTAATAACTACAAGGTACTGGAAAATTCTCTCTTTTTTAGACCCCCACCCCAAGGAAAGCAATGAACATCCATTCAAAATGTGTGGAATTGTTTTTAAATTACCAGGGAATCACATGGAAACACATCGATTAAGGATGCATTTCAACCCACTCTCTTCTTTACTGTTTCTAGTAACAGAAGACCCCAGCTTGATACTTGTACTCTGGGCTGAGTTTTTGGGGCTGGCAGCAGGTACACAACTGTTCCTTACTTCCGGTCTTCTATCTTACCTGGAGTAGTTTAAACCCAGGAAACAGATCTTTTCCTTCCATGTGATGTGGTGTATATACCATTAATTGCATGGAACAACTGCACTTTTGGAGATGTGCTGCTGTTTTTCCAGAGTCTCAGCACTTGCTACTGAAGCTGAACTTCCTCTGAAGCTGCTGAGCTGGGTAAACCAGGCCTTGGGATCAGTATCAGTTCCTGTCTTTCCCATTACTCCTCAATCCTGCATCTTTGTTCTGATTATGCAGCTGCCTTATCAACAAATTAATCCCTGCAGTTTTTCCATCTGATTTATACTAGGAAAAAGGATAAATGACCTCAGTGGGATGTGGCCAACATGGTCCAGCCTGGCAGTGTCCATCGGGGCTTGGGAAAGCATCAGCTCAGCTCCACAGTCGGTCATCACAATCCAAACCCAGAGATGGAAGAAGGGGAAGCTGCACCCTCTGTGGCCCCGTGAACAACACGGATCCTGCTGCAAACCTCCAGGAGCAAAACTTGTTCAGAGGAAAGGAGATTCCAAGCCTTCTAAGACAAAGTGTTAACACGTTCACTCTATTGCTTCTGCTGTTGACAATAGTTCACACTGAGACATTTTTGGTAAAATTATATTGGGTTTGCGAGACATGATACCATCGCATTTGAATTATGGTTCTATTGTAAGGCTTCATCTCCTCTCACATAAAACAGGATCTAACATCCAAGGCTCTTTGCAGGCTATTGCTAAGTAGAAAATGCCTGCTGGGTTTTATTGCACAGACACTGAACTGCCAGGGGCTGGCTTATTGCTTTATAAAATGTTAGAGCAACCTTGAATACGAAAGATGTCATATAAATCTAAACAAACCCTTTTTTCCTCCAATTTCAGATGATGTGTGAAGATTCTCTGTTGAGATCTTTAGTCAGAGAGCGAAGAAGGAATTGAGATTCCTTTGGCCCCTAAAGTAAAGGTCAGTCTACTTTTATTATCTCTGCCCCAAACTTGGCTTCTCTGAGCACAGTCCTAGGTTCAAACTGGAGCCTGGCAAGAGCTCTGGTAATTGTCCCCCCCGGCAGAAACCATTCCTCAGGACCTGTGCAGATGCAGGCAGAGGCCTGGCTCGGGGCAAGGCTTCCGGCTGCTCCCCAGCAGGCTGACAGGGCTTTCTGACGTGAAAGCTGGTTTATTCTGCAAGAGAAGCTCTCTGCTCTCTGCCACGTGCCCCTGGGCTCACTGCAGGAGCTCAGAAATGGGGATGGAGGATGTGCTTTATCCACGTTCAGTTACTCTGATAACTTCATTTCTCTTTCTGTGAATTCCCCTGAGCTCTAACAGACCTTTCCAATTCAAAAGGAGAGGAAAATATCCCAGCAGCCTGATGCGGATGACAGCTCTCACCGATGCTGGCAGCATGGTGCTTTGTCTGTGCGTTTGTGCTTTAGCTTTCCCAGTCGTTGGCTGCGCATCGCGTGTTTCCACCCAGGATTTGCACTCTGGACGTTAGCCGCCGGTTCCTTACCTGGATGGGGGTGCCATAGGGAAGCTCCGCTTTCTCGCTGCTCTGGGTGGCCACGGTGGGGTTGCTGGAGCTGATGAGCACGGGGGAGCTGATCTCCAGCGCCTGCCGCTCAGGCGAGTGGACCATGCGGTTGAGGGTGTTGAGGGCGGTGGTGATGGAGAACTGCCGCAGGCTCTTCCGCCGGGAGTCGGGCACCTTGGGGAAAGCTGGAGAATCCGCACCCTTGCCTTTGGGAGACGCCGTTCGTAGGGACGTGCACTTAAACTGGGGGGACCAGTGGCTTTTGCTGGTCTGCAGGAGCTGCCTTGCAGTGGTGTTTGGCTGGAAGAGACAAAGGGAGAGACGATGGCACATTTCAGAAGTCACGCCTGGCACAGCCTGGATTCTCAGTTTTCCCATTTTCCTCTTTTCCTGTGCAGCAGCAGGTTTCAGATGATGTTACAGGTGCTCTTTACAAACACGAACCTCAGCCATTTCCCTGATTGTCTCCAGTGACAAAACCCAGACGCAAAGTCACTGCTGCAAAGCTGATGGCAAATTAAAACTGGTTTGACAAAGTTGTTGCTTAAAGAACACGTTACGGGGCTGGGTGCTCCCCCCGGCACACCACGGACAGCCTTTGGCTTGCCGAGGTGCAAGGAGAGTTGGCTGCTCTCCAGCAGTGTTACCATACATTGAACTCTAAGTTAGGAGGGACGTTTGGGCACATCTTCCCTGTGCCTGGCAGCAGGACATGGAGCCGGCAGCCAACGAGCACAGGAAAGCCCTTGCTGGTGGCGTCTTCCCCAGCAGCATTAGATCCACCCAGTGACATCTCTGTAGGCCTGAATATTGGTGGCTTGATCCTGCTGCTGTTGAAAAAGGCCTGGCTTGCTAAGAATTGGGCTTAATGAGGGAAGAGCCAGGCCCCAAGTTTGCATATGGGCAGTGTTCAAACAGCACTTGCTGGAAACTGCTGATGAGGCAGTATTAATAGCAGAGGGCATGTGGTGACAGTGTTTGTACCACGATGGCTGCCAGAGGAATTAATCATGATTTACTGCTGACACAAACGAATTGCAAAATGTTGAGATTCTCACCCACTCGTGTGGGGCAACGCGCCCGGCTCCCGGCACCAGCAGCGCTGGCTCTCAGCGGGAGAGCTGCAGGAGGCTTCAAGCGGCCGCGTTTTAAAGCAGGGCTTGTTGTTGCATTTCCCTTCTGCTCTCTCCATAAAGCAAGCTTTAAACCCCCGAGTGTGTGCGCGTGTACATATGTGAGACGGGGATGCTGACGGTTCTGTGTGCAGCTAAACGTTAGCCTAAACAAGAAACGTTTTTCTGCCTTCTCTAATCACCAGGAGATGCAATAAATGGGGCATAAAGCCAAGTGTCCAAGCCAAGCCAAGGCAAACCTTGCATCTCCCCAAACAGACCTGCCTTTGCCTTCTCCATAATTAATTTCTAATTCCTTGGTGCCTTTACCCTAACTAACTTACTTCTGTTAACGCCAGGCTTAAATAAGTAATTACTGAAGCTAAAATGATTTCAGTAAATGAAAAGACATTTTACAAAATATATTAAAGCTTCAAATAAGATCTTTTACTTGTGTCCTTTTATAAAACAGCACTGAGAAGGGCTTGCTGTAATTATGATGATTACAAGTATTAATTTTATTTCTAGGAATTCTTGTTGGTGCCACTTACACCCTGCATCTCACGCTAAACTGCAGGAATACAATTAGTGTCTAGACCAGGCCTAACAATATGCTGTCATGGAGCAGGCAGCTTGAAGGACGCCGGAGCGCCGGGAATGCCGCCTGTGCCGCACTGAGCTGGCACTGGGGCACGCTGAGGCACTGGGACCAGCAGAGCCTGACACCAGGACAGCAGCGGGGGGCTCATGGGGCAGATCCCTTTGACAGAGCTACATGAGAACCAACTACAACAGAAGCCCTTACAAATGCAAGTTTTCGAGGTTTTGCCTGAATTCTGCACTTTTGCACCCATTTTTAATCTTGTTGAGGCTTCCTTCTGGTGAGGAGAGGGCAGGCTGCCTGCTGCTGCAGGGCTGTGCCCTGGGTGCCAGCACTGCTGCCCGAGGTGGTGTTGGATGGGCACAGTGGTGATTGGGCTGTGCCCCCTCCACGCATGGTGGGGAAGGCCCCTGCTTTGTCACCCAACCTTGTGTCCTTTGTCCTCACCAGCCCTGCTGAGGATGGTGATGTGACCCTGACACTGTCACCAGCCAGCTCGTGCAGGGTGAGGATGGGATTGTCCTGCCATTCCAGAGAGCAGCAGCATCAAACACCACATCACGTCCTCTGCTCAGTGCAGCTTTCATAGAATCCCAGCCTGGTTTGTGTTGAAGGGACCTTAAAGCTCATCCAGTTCCAACCCCCTGTCACGGGCAGGGACACCTTCCACTAGAGCAGGCTCCTCTCAGCCCGTGAGGTGCATTCTGACCTGCCGGCTCCTCTGGCCTTACTCAGCACAACGCTCAAGCTTGCCTTTAATTTAAAGGTGTGAGTGTGGCTCAATCGGGGCCATGGACACAGGTCTAAGGGTGAGTACATGAAAAGCCTTTGACTTGCTGGAGGTTTTGCATCGTGTGGAAATGCCTCTGTAATTGCCACACACAGAACTAATAATGCAAATGGCATTTTAGCTATAAACTGAGAGAAACCCCCTGTGTAAGCACTGAGGCAATTGGTGTCACGCTGCTGAGCAGCTCAGGTCTCTGTTTCAGGAGCTGCAATAACCTGGCAGTGCTGGGGTGCAGGTATCTGGAATATTCCAGAGGAAAACAGCTCATTTGTGTTGATTGACAGCTACATCTCTTTGGAAGGACATTCTGAGCAGCCCAGAAGAGTTAAAACTTGATAACTTTTAACATGTTTTCATTTCATCTTGTGAAGGATCCTTCTTGGAGAGGGGAAGTAAAGAGAATTTATGGTTTTCTCCCTTTTGAAGTAATGTGCAAAGTTTGCTGCTCAGGTTTTATTGGCTCCAAGGCTGAGGGATCAGAAAAGGCTCCGAACTACTCACCCCTGTGCAGGACACGTGCACAGCGTCTCCTTCTGAACTGGTGGGGAGTCTGAATTACTCCCACAGTGAGGGAAGGGACTCTTTGCTTCCATTTGTGTGTTTGTGTAGGGGAGGACCAGGAGCTGGCACCGCCTTGAGGATACTGTGGAAGGGAGTTACTGGTAACTGCCCCACAGAGCACTGGTAACAGCCGTCACAGAGCTGGGGGACCGGAGGATGCTCCTGCCTCTTTGCAGAAGCATCTGTGTGCTTTAGATGTGTGTTAACTCCCCATGTGTGAACTTTGCTCTGGGAGCAGAGACTACGATACCTCCTAATGCAAAAAACAAGAGTGAGCTGAGAAACAACGGCAAATGGAGTGAAACCCAAACCAGTGCAGGCGGCAGAAAACTGAGGAAGGTGCCTCCTGCCAGTCAGTGCATCCTCATGGCAGGGAGTGCTGCTGGCTGCCTGGCTCCTCTGCTCCTCACCAGCAGGCTGAGCACCCACATTTCACAGAGCTGCTGGTGATGTGTGATGCTGCTCCCAACTGATGCTTCTACTTTTGTTCCTCCCTTTAGTCAGCAACCATAGCTGGCTCCCAGCTCCTGCTAGCCACTCCACATCCACCCCTGACCCCCAGCCTTCCTCTCCTGCCTCCTCTTCCCATCCATGAGAATGAGGAGCACATGGCAGCTGTGTGATGGAGAAAGAGGTCACTTCTCTGCAAGGGCGCTGGTGCCCCCGGGCAGCGCTTTCTGTCCTGCTGTGCCTCACCTTGTCTGGCACTGCAGGGACAGCTGGCTTTGGGAGGTGCGGTTACCCAGAGGAGCGTGTCCTCTAACAGAGTAAACAGCTCTGTAGCCTTTGGGGAACAAAGGGGAACACAGTGCAAGCTCAGGTATTGCTCTGTAAATGGGTGTCTCAGGAGGCCAGGCACGTGTGCTGCAAAAACCATGTATCCCCAGACCTGGAGGCAGTTTTACCTACATCAGTAGGTGTGTTTTAGAGGAGTGCTTGGAGTGTTTTGGTCCCGAGAGGGGAATGCCTCCATCAGCTGCTCCCCATCACCGACAGCAGCGTGGGCCAGAGGCAGCAGATCGTGGTGGGAATCTGCATCCCTGTTCCTGTGCATACCCCTGTGGGGTTAACTGCCTCAGCAGGGTCTAAGGGAGCCTGGGAACCTTACTGGTATCCAACAGGGAGCTCCTATGGAGGTGGGGTGGGTAGGACACCCTATAGCCTACACAAGGCCCCAGCCCAGCCCTGGGTGCTGCCGTTACCTTATGCAGGGTCAGGCTCTCCTTGTGTTCGGTCCTGTCCCTGCCCCTGGTGTCGAAGGTGCCGAGTGCCCTGCTGAGGGGCACGGGCAGGGGCAGGTGCTTGATCACTTGCACGGAGCTGGCTGGGAACACGCCGCTGATGCCGTTCACCTCCCCCAGGTACCAGTTCTCGTCCAGCTGCCGGAGCAGCACGATGATGTCCCCCTTGTTGAACCGCAGCTCCCCGGGGTTGTGCCCTCGGTACGTGTACAGGGCCTTGGCTCGTGGGACCTGTGGGGTGAGAAACAGCCCTTGAGCTCACCCAATGCTAAACACAGACAGAACTCCCCAAAGCATTCCTCATTACTGGGAAAAATGTAGAGGTCTAAGTCTTGAGCATGCATTTATTGGGATTAACTACCCACATCCTTTCTTGATGTCTTTTTCTAATGAAGACAAGCTGCAAAATACTTATGCTAAATTTGTATCAAGATGAAAAGCAGGCTGAACTTGTTTTAGAATATTAAGAAACAGTTAAAGCCTTAAACCAGTCTTCCCGTGGGCAAAACACGGTTTTTTGTCTGTGCTGCCAAGTGCTGGGGGCTCATGAGTAGGACCCTGCTCTGTGTTTTCCCAGCCACCACCACCAACAGCCCGCCAACCTTGCGGGAATGGCACCGTTGTACCAGTGACACACTCTGGCTTTTCCTGCTTTTTTCTGCCCAAATCCATTCATGTCGGTACCCAGGGCTCAGGCAGGATTTCTGCAGAGTTCACCCCCCATCAGCCACTTCTGTGAGGTCAGGAAGGGGGAAGAGAGAAACCCAACGATTGTTTCCTGAAGTGTGTGGAAAAGATCAAATTTTCTATGGAAATGACTTAGTTTTTTGGGAAGGAAACATCTTCCAGCACTCCCAAACACTGGTGCTTGGTACATAAAAGGAACTCAGAAGAGAAAAATTGTATAAATTGTATGTACTGTGTTTACTTCAAAGCATTTGAAACAGGAAGCAATTAGTTTAATGCTTAGCTCTAATTAACTCACTCTGCCTGTTAGTTTCTGCTCATAGCAAACATTTGGCTTCGTGACACTGAAAGTGCATTGCTGGAAAAAAAGAAAGTGATGAAAATGTGAGTCAGGCCAGCTCTGCTGGGCACCAGCACCCCAGCTCGGATGCGACGTAGAGACTGTGCCAGTGCCAGCACCACGGGAACTCTTTACAAGGGACAGGACAAGGGGAATGGCTTTAACCTGCCAGAGGGGAGACTGAGATGAGCTCTGAGGCAGAAGCTCTTCCCTGTGAGGGTGCTGAGGCGCTGGCACAGGGTGCCCAGAGAAGCTGTGGCTGCCCCATCCCTGGCAGTGTTCAAGGCCAGGTTGGACACAGGGGCTTGGAGCAACCTGCTCTGGTGGAAGGTGTCCCTGCCCATGGCAGGGGTTGGAGCTGGGTGAGCTTTAAGGCCCCTTCCAACCCAAATCACGCTGTGAGTCTCTGAATTCCCACTGCCAGTGCTTGCCTGGACATATGCACCTTCCCAGAGGAAAAACAGACTGTGGGAACAGGGGATTACAGGAGCACCGGTTCTTCTTTGGAAAGACACAGTGACAGACTCCCTGGAGTTAAACAAGGACAAGGAGCACAGGAGAGCTTTGATTGCCTCAGGAGCCACCAGAAAACAAACAGGGCTCGTGCAAACAGTGAACGCAGGGCTTGTGAAGGAGGAGCACAAACAGACAGGATGGTGAGAGAACGGCTGCACGGCAAAATCAAGCAATACATAAAAGGCACCAAGAACGAGTTATGGAAATGTATTAAAAATAAGAGAAACTCTGAAATTAAATGCATGCCTGTTAGTAAGTGGGAAAGGTGAGCAAGCCACGGGGGTGCTGAGTCTCGAATATTCTTTCTTCAGCAAGAAAACAGATGAGACAGGAGAGCAGGCTGGAATAGAGAACTGAAACCCAGGTAGGATAGGGGGGGTTGTGACATTAGGGCTGGCTGAAACTCAGCCCTGTGTGTCTTCCTCTAACCTTGGTCACAACCTTCACTCCTTCACCTCCTTTCTAACCCTTTCCTCCCACTTCCATGCCCTTTCAAATTGCAGCCCTTTCTGTTTTCAGGTTTCCCTCTAAGCCTGGTTTTCTTCCCCATTGCTGTTTACTGGAGCTTGCAGTGACCACTGATATCATCTTACCCCTCACTTTATAAAGCACTTGGATTCACTTGTTGAAATTGTGCAAACCCTTGGTGGATCTCAGTGAATAACAGTTCATATTAATGCTTACACGCTTCTTTAGCATCCAAAAAACCCTCAGAATGTGGGTCTTTTGGGGCTTGCTGGTAAGTTTGAACATTCTCAAGGTAACTAACACTGGTGTGTTCCTTCACGGATGTTATGTCAAGAAATTACTGTACTGTTGGTGGTCCTCTGGTTGGCACCGCTCCTTCCCCCCAGAGCTCCTGTACTGCAGGGATGGGCTCAGCCTCTCCCCGTACTCAGGCCTCTAATATTTTAATACTCTGTTAACAGCAAAAATCAATGTAATTTAAACCAAGAGGAGAAGGATTTTAAAAAGCCACAGCAATGCAAAGCACTTCGGTTTGGAACCAATGGAAATTCACTTGAAATGAACATTTCGAAGATCTTCATAACCCCCCCAACGTTCCATTCAGGTAATTTTTCATGGCCCAAGTAATTTTTTTCCAAAGTCTGTTGCTTTTTTTATTGATTTTGTTCGTATGTTCAGATACTGAGCCCAAAATATCCCATTAAATTCCCAGCCTTATTTAGGATGTAAACCAAGCCTTTATCTGCCCACACGGAGCAACCCGTGTGGTTTTCACTGCACAGGGCGCTTTCCTGCTTCACAGGCCCTGCACAAAATACATCTTCCAGATGAAGTTATCCAAAAGCCGTGCATCAGGGTCACCGTTGTGTAACGTGTGTGCAGGGTGCGGGAAAGGCACAGAAAAGCGGCAAAGCCCCAGCAGCAAAGCCCTGGCTGAGCAGGCACCTCGCGGGCAGCTGATCTCGCACCTTATCTCTGGTGCTCAAGCACGGGCAGCCGCGGGCGCAGCTCAAACCTGAATTCTTTCTCAGGCTCGGCTGGTTTCTGTCCACTTGTGGATGTGTAGGATCCTCTGCAAGGCATCTGTTTGGCTTTATGTAAAGTAGGTTAATTGCAATGGCAGAAACTGGGGTGCTAATTAAGCCCCGCGATAAGGACAAGGTGTGCCCGGAGGTAGCTCGCTGCGGGCAGAGGGAGAGGCCTTCCTGCACGCGGGGTAGGAGGGACCGGGTTTGTTTTGATGGACTCTCCTCCCGTTAGCATGGCCAGTTGCTTTTTGTTAATCCAAAAGCAGCATTTGATTTAGGGGGGTGTTGTGGCAGCAAAATGTTCAGCCAAATATTGCAGATCTTGGCTGCCAGGGCCAGTGCCCGCCTTTATGTTCCACTGGGAAAACGCTGTGGGAAGCTCTGCAAAAAACTCAACCAAATTTTCAATTTGTTGAAAATCAGCGTGGGGTATTTGCTGCCCAGCAGCAGAGAGGCACCGGTACAAAGGAGAAACACCAGGGTGAACGGAGAAGGCTTTTTTCCCAGTATTGCCATGCAGTACTGCAGCTGCAGTAGTAGTGCTGGCCATGGCAGATGCACCTCAGTGCCTTGTCCCCATTCCTAGTGCTTTGAGGCCCATAAGGGAGCAGGATTTGATGTTTTGCTATTTTTGGTGTCTGGCATCAGCTGTGCAAGGGCAGCCATCCAAGACATCTGAGTCTCCCTCCGTACAAAACAAAGCAAATTAAAAATATGTACATGTGTGTGAGGAAGCGATTCAAAGCATCCTTCATAGCTGGGAGAAACGCACACTATAATTATCCTAAATGAGCTAGTTATAACTTCCTCATTATTGGCAGCGGATTAATGTAAGACCACACACTCACAGCACTGGTATTTAAAAGAAAAGAGAAGAGAAAGAAGTGTGTGAGGCTGGCTGGGGAGGGGGGCACCAGGGACAGACATGGAGAACAGTCAAGGAAGGAGGAAAGCAAAGCTGGGGAGCGCAGTGGAGCGGAGCTATCTCTAATGGAGGTTGATGGAGGCTCACCCTTCTCCTGGGGGACTCCATCTGAAACCACCCCAAGGAGCAGCACAGCCCCGTGGTGACACTGTGTGACCAGACTGAGCCGCTGCCTGCGGTACCCTGGGCTGAGTATGAGGCCATCAATGTCCCTGCACGTGGGGTTTGTTTAGCCCATCGCCCATTTCCAAGCTAGGCTCATTGCAGACAGCTTCAGCCAGATACAGCTGATGACATCAGATGGGATCCTCCTGCTTCCCAGATGCTCTGACTTCACTCATGTCCATGACTATCTTGATGACATGGGATGAGTGACAAGTTAATCTTTGGAATAGCTATTGGTGTCCAGGAGTGCTTCCTTCTGATTTACCGCATGCCAAAGGGAGGGCGGCTGGAGCTGTTTGGGCAGGAGCAAGCTCCAGGAGTGCTGATTGCTCCGGACATCCCTGTTCCTGCACCGCTGCCCAGCCCGGTGCTGGACCATGCCCCCCAACCCTCAGCAGCACCCTGCTGACTCCAGTGGTGCAGACAGACCC